AATACTATGCAGCCATAAAGAAAGATGGAGACTTTACCTTCTTCATGTTTACATGGATGGAGCTGGAAAATAATTCTTCTTAGCAAAGTATCTCAGGAATGGAAGAAAAAGTATCCAATGTACTCAGCCCTATTATGAAACTAATTTATAGCTTTCATATGAAAGCTATAGCCCAATTATAGCCCAAGAATATGGGGAAGGGGAAAGGGAAGGGAGGAGAGGGGGGAGAATGGGTGGAAGAAGGGTGATTGGTGGGATCACACCTATGGTCCATCTTACAAAGGTACATGTGAATCTTTCTAAATGTAGAATATAAATGTCTTAACACAATAACTAAGAAAATGACATGAAGGCTATGTTGATCAGTTTGGTTAAAATATTTCAAATTGTATATAAAACCAGCACACTGTACCCCATGACTGCATTAATGTACACAGCTATGATTTAATAAAAAAATTGACTCAAAATGAATCAAACACCTAAAAATGTTAAAACAATGTTTTCTAGAAGAAAACATAGCAGAAAATCTTTATAACTTTAGGTATCTAAGAATGTAGAAAGAACTCTCAAAATTCAAAAGACTGACCATACCAAGTGTTATTGGCAAGTTGTACACTAGCTGGAACTCTCACATGCTGATCAAGAGAATGAAATGGTTACAACCACTTCAAGAAATCAAAAGTTTGGTAGTTTTGTAAAAGTTGAATATTTACCTACAATATGATGAGCAGTTCCACTCTTGTGTGGAAATAAAAGCACACAAAGGCTTTGTCTACCACACAAAGACTTGTACGTGAACATCCTCAGCAGCTTTGTATGTAATAGCCAATCACTGAAAACAAGCACCATGTCGTCAGCAGATGAATAGCTAAGCAAGTAGCTACATACAGTGAACTGTGACCCAGCAATAAAAATTAAAAGGACAGGATAATTGGTGTGCACAACTACTTGGTGGATTTCACAACAATTCTACTGAAGGAAGAAGCCAGATGATGAGAGAGAGAGAGAGTATATGTGTGTTTTACCCCATGATTGCATTTATACAAAGTTTTGGAGTGAGAGAATGAATATCAGTAATTGTCTTTGTCTGGGGTCTATGAGAGGGAGGGCAGAGAGGACTGCTGAGAACATGAGGAAGCTGTTAGGTGTGAGGAAACCTGGGGGGAAACTGTGCACAGGTTCAACCTAGCCAGTTGTACACCCTAAATTTGTGCCTATAATTTATGGCATACCAACTATACCTCAATAAATCTGCTAAAAGAAAGAAATTCATCATTTTTTTAAACTGGAGTTCATACATGATTTTCTTTTCTTGAGTTTCATTTAACTGTTTGAAGCAGCCAGTTAATGACACACACAATGAGTCAGGAACAGTGCTAGGCATCTTATATGTGCTATGTATTTAATTTTCATAATAGCTTTACTTTTAAAGAAGAAAATATTAGCTGTATTTTTTCTCCCTTTAGCATGAGGAAACAAGACATCAAAAAAATAAGTTGCTCAGAGGCATATTCACTAGTATGTGCAGTCTTAATTTGCTATTTTTTTTTCTAACATGCCATGAATTTTTTTTTTTTTTGAACTAAGAAATAGGCTTTTCCCTAATTACTCATCTGTAGTTTGGTCAAAGAGAGTCACTTTGTCTTTAAAAGTCTCTCCCCAAGATAGTTGTAGTGGAACAAAGTATGGTATGGCACTCACGCCTATAATCCTAGCTCTCTGGGAGGCCAAGACAGGTAGATCACGTGAGCTCAGAAATTCGAGACCAGCCTAAGCAAGAGGGATACCCTGTCTCTACCGAAAAAATAGAAAAACTAGCCAGGAGTGATGGTGCATGCAAGCTGTATAGTCCCAGCTACTCAGGAGACTGAGACAAGGGGATCTCTTGAGCCCAGGAGTCTGGGGTTACTGTGAGCTAGGACACCATGGCCCTCTACCAAGGGCAACAGAGTAAGACTTTGTCTCAAAAAGAAAAAAAAAAAGTATCTTCCACATATCCAAACAGGGAAATACATATTTTATAATCGCTTATTATTCCCCTCAAATCACCAACTTCAGTTAAAATTTAACAATACTGAGGGAAGCCAGGAACTTGTTGTAAGATGTGGTCACCTTAAGGACTCTAGAATGCCGATTTCAAATATGGAAGCACAAAAGGGAAGATGATGAGTATCTCATCATCTTGCTTTCCATCACCAGTTCTGCCCCATTCCACTGTGATAAAAACACCTTTTTTGGTTATCCTCCCAAAGAGAAAATACATAAGTAAATGGTCAAGCAGACAGAAGAGCCAGTTGTAAACAATGACAACCAACAAGCTGCTGAACCCACTGTGCTCTAGGGCACACCTAGAGTTTGTATGAATTTAGAATTATCAGAGCTCTTTGACTGAAATGCTAAAGATTAGCAACTAGGAAATTTTTTATGAACAAAAAGAGACAAAGCTGGTTTCTTTGTAGGAGAGATACTCACAAAGATTTTTCTGAGATTTCTTACTATTAAGATCCACTAAAGATCTAGACCTTCCAGATGCCTACCCACCTGTCCTGGCTTGCTCCTAGACCTTTCAAGGAAATAGTAGTGATTCTTGGTTTAAAAATGTTATCTGCTTCTAATAACAAAATCAAAAGTTAATAAGACAAATCTGAAACACAGCAGAAAGAGGAAAATGCCACTTGTATAAAAGGTTTCAAGTATTGCTCTTAATTTTAAGGACAGGAGAGATTATGCTAAAATATCACCATGTCAAAAGTTCTCTTTTATTTTCTTCTTAAAATTTGGGTGTTTATCCAAAGATAAAAAATGGTCTTATTGATCATCATTCCTAGAAATTATATTCTACATTTTTTTCTCATGCAAAATTTAATTCCACTAAATTTACTTTTCCAAATTTGCACTAGCACTCATGAACTGTACAATGCTATGGGTCTCTTCACTAAATGTCACCTGAAGAAAAGGCTATTATCTCTATTGTTGAGGACATCATTAAAAGAGGGAAGGTTAGCTCATAGATGCATAGATTTCAGAGCTGGAAAGAATTTTCAAATATATACACTTGAGATGTCTTGGGAAACAAGAAACAAAGACAGAATCAGAACCAAATTCAGGTGTTCCCAGAGTTTGTTAATTCACTACCTGCTTCTGTAGATTTATAGTTAAGAAAATAGGGTGGATCCCTTTAAGAAAAAAATTTATTTTGTTTTTTTTCACGAGTTTGTTTTTTTTGTTTTATTTTATTTTATTTTATTATTGTTGAGGATTCATAGAGGGTACAAAGATCCAGGTTATACTAATTGCATTTGTCAGGCCAAGTCCCTCTTATAAATGTGTTCCTCCCTCAAGATGTATGCCAAACACTGTGACTCCCCATCCCCTCTCTTCTTCCCTCTCTCCACTCCCCCATACCCGCACCCTCCACTATGTCATCATCAATTGACCTCATATCAAAATTGAGTACATTGGATTCTTCCTTCTCCATTGTTGTGGTGCTTTACTAAGAAAAATGAGTATTTTACTAAGTAAGAAGAGTACCACCTCCATCCAAGTTAGTATAAAAGATGTATAGTCTCCATCTTTTTTAGTGGCTGAATAATATTCCATGGTATATATATACCATAGCTTGTTAATCCATTCCTGGGTTGGTAGGCATTTAGATTGTTTCCAGATTTTGGCATTTGTACATTAAGCTGCAATAAACAGTCTAGTACAAATGTCCTTATGATTAAAGGATTTTTTTTATTCTGGGTAGACGCCCAGTAATGGGATTGCAGGATCAAATGGGAGTTCTAGTTTGAGTTCTTTGAGGATTCTCCATACTTACTTCCAAAAAGTTTCACAAAAATAGGGACATAGACACCTAGAACCAAATAGAAAACCATGAGATGAAGCTAACATCTTATAGCCACCTAATCTTTGATAAACCAAACAAGAATATCCACTGGGGGAAAGACTCCCCATTCAGTAGATGGTGCTGGGAGAACTGGATATCCACATGTAAAAGACTGAAACTGGACCCACACCTTTCGCCACTCACTAAAATTGATTCAACATGGATAAAAGATTAATCTTGAAAGATCCATCATAGATCTAAATCTAAGACATGAAACAATAAAAATCCTTGAAGAAAGTGGGGGGAAACACTTCAAGGTATTGACCTATGAAAAAACTTTATGAAAAAGACTTGAGTGGCAACTGCAACAACAAAAATAAACAAATGGGACTTAATTAAACTGAATAGTTTCTGTACAGCTAAGGAGACAACAACCAAAGCAAATAGACAATCATCAGAATGAGAAAAGATATTTGCATATTATGAATTGGACAAAAGATTGATAACTAGGATCTACAGAGAACTTAAATTAAACAACATAAAAAGAGCCAACAATCCCTTAAATCAGTGAGCAAGAGAAGTGAATAGAGCCCTCTCTAAAGAAGATAGACACATGACTAACAAACATATATAAAAATGATCATCATCTCTAATTATCAGAGAGATTCAAATCAAAACTACCCTGAGATATCGCCTAACCCAGTGAGAATGACCCACATCACAAAATCTCAAAGCTGCAGATGCTGGTCTGGACGTGAAGAAAAGGGAACACTTTTACATTGCTGGTGGGACTACAAGCTACAACCTTTTCGTAAGGAAGTATAGAGAATCCTCCTTTATGAGTTTTAATTTGTTCTATGGTAACTGCATCATCCACATAGTAAAAAATAAGTTTATTAGTAAATTCATGTAACAATAATTTATTTTAATTATGCTATAAACAATGGAAGGCACCACTGGAGGCACCATTCACAGGAATTTTTTTTTTATTTATCACATTTTCTTACCCTATCGTTTGTCTTTGAAGTGATATAGTATTTATAGAGAATTCCTTAAAATTGAGTAAATGCCAGAGGGGCAATTTGGTTTATTATTGTTTTTATTCTAAACTAGTACTGTTTTGTTTCAGAAAGTGTTCTATTCCTTCACTTTCTGTATTTTTACATTTTAGGAAATTCAGCCAGAACCTCGTTGCCCAGCTTTGGTACTTTGTGAAATGTGTTTACTTTGGATTGTCTGCCTACCAAATCCGCTGTGGCTACCCAACGCGGGTCCTTGGAAATTTCCTCACAAAGAGCTACAACTATGTCAATCTCTTCTTGTTTCAAGGGTAAGGACATGCTATGTAGTCACAGTCACTTTTGGGGGGGTGGCTGGCTGTTGAAGAGCATCTTGGTTCCCAGCTAGGAGGGAGGGGGACCAGGAAGAACATAGCAATGTTGGCAAAAGAACAAAAATACCTCTTTAAACGCCTTTCTATGTGTAATTGTGGACACACACCTGTCCACAATGTTGGTCTAAAGCAGTGTTTTTCAACCTTTTTCATCTCAAGGCACACTTGAACCTATAGTTAAACTTCTACAGCACACTTCAGTTATGCTGACCAAAATAATAATAATAATGATAAAGAATATACTTACTGTGCTTTGAATTTCTTTAGAAATAATTTAATTAAAGGTCTTTAAAATTTTTCCCGGCACCCATGACATCCTCTTACAGCACACCAGTTGAAAATCACTGGTGTAGCTCATCCACATGCACCACTATTCTATGCTAATATCCTGTGTAATTACTGCAGTACTATTGGGGGATAAAAAATAGGAATACTTGATCCCTAAGCATTATCATACTTCTGGTCACAGAAGCATAGAATAGTTGGAATCTGGATGATTCCAAATACTTTTGAAGTTCCAAAATACCTTTAGAATTTTTTATATACAGTTAAGTTCATCCATTGAAGAAGGGCATTTATTCTACCTAACTTGCTTGTTCACTCAAACAAAGCATATTTGTTCTGTGTAAAGATTTCAGTGGTAGCATCTCCTTTCTGTTCTCTCATAAATTAAATCACAGCATAAAAGGTGAGGCTGCTGTTGGCACTGCCAGTTCCTCTATAGCACCAGTTATAAGAGGAGTTGGTTGCACCCACATGTCAAAGGGCACCCAACACCATGTGTCAAACAGGGTATCATTCTGTGCTAGCCCATGTCTGGAACTAATATTTCTTCCAGGGCTTGGATTAGTGTTCACTCAACAAAGATGAGGCAGCCCAGGGTGAGTGGCAACCCAAATTGCTTGAAGGGCTTTGGGAGGAACCCAGGTTCCCCAGCCTGGGAAAGGCCTGTGTCAGTAAAGAAGTATGGAACATCCTTCAGAGCCTAGAGGCACCTTCTGAAATACAGCTGAACTACAAAGCTGGGCAAAGCCCATGTTCATTGTACAGCAGGAAGTCCAACAGCTATGGTGTCCTGCCCTGCCCCCCCATGACACTCCCTGCTCCCTCAGGTCTCACCCATCTGCACACAACTTTTTCTTAGCCAGTGTATCATCTTTACTAACTCATCCAATGACAAAACCACAGTGATTCAGTAATCCTAGAGCCAGTCTCATCATATGAACAAATAAACATGAAAGAAATTGACTCACCTTTAATCTTATTTAAAAGGAGGAGTTGCAGTTGGTAAAGCCTGTTAGGGCAAAGAGAAAAATAGAAATCCATATTTTACACTCACAGTGAAAAGTGGTTGTATTCCAAGTGGAATACTGTAATGGTCACCTTGAGGATTAAAATAGTAAGGAGTTACAAGGGGCTTCTGGGGTTTGAGAGCAGTCAGGACCCTCTCACAAATGTCTCTCTGACAAGATGTGGCTCCTGCCAGGTTCCGCCTTGTTCCATTTTTGACTGAGCTGAGGGCAGTGATGGACTGGGTGTGGACAGACACAACCTTGAGCCTCTCCAGCTGGATCTGCGTAGAGGACATCTATGCCCACATATTCATCCTCAAGTGTTGGCGGGAATCAGAAAAGGTAGGAAGCCAAGCAAAGTGTCTTACTCCTTATCCAGGTTGGTGATAAGCTCCACGTGAACTCCTGCAACTTTTGTGGAGCAGAACTACCATGACCTATAAATGTCTCCTTGATTTCCAGCCCACTAGAGCTGGGAATTTCAGACTTACTGCCGCCTTAGTCAGCAATAGCATCCAGATGTTTTCTTCTTTTGGCAAGTGTATGTTGTAGTTATTTTTAAAAGGAAGAAATATAAGTTATAAGTTATTGCTCATATATCTCATTAGCTCTTGAATAGCTCATTTGGGAGCAGGCAGGATGGGGAATGGGAGAGAAAGGTGGGTCCACTATTTTGGACTCACACTCATCTCTGATTCACGTTTTGGACAAAGGAAATGGATTGAAGGGCAAATATCTGGTTGTTTGGCTGTGTTAAATATTAAGATTTAAATATGGATAGGTTACTCTTACTGATTGGGTTTTTCAAAAGTTTAGCATATGAAAGAAAAGGCTCTTGTAAAATAGCAATAATGTCACCTAACAAATTAGCTGGGGTGGTCTGAAATGTCTTTTTTTCTCATCTAGAAAAAGTTTCCTTGAAAAAGTCTCCTATAAAGACATTTTGAACAATCAAAGCGACTCCATTACAGAACTGGCAGCCTCAGGAGCATTTGCCATGAAATGTCCAAGTGCATACACAGGATCACACAAAGGAGAGTTCAGATCATGCAACCTCTGGCCTTCATCTCCTGGAGTCCTTTATTCAAAGATGGAATGTTCGTTATCTATTTCCACTAACAAACTATCTCAAAATATAGTGGTTTAAAACCAACAACCATTTTATCTGCTCACAGTTCTGCAGGTCACCTATTTGGGCTGGGCTCTACTGGACAGTCTTGCCTGGGTCAGTCCTGGGACTGCTATCCACTGGTGGGCCAGCTGGGGCTGATGTTATTTGATGGTGTCACTCAGTCACCTGCAGGCTGAGTCTGGCTTTTGGCTGGGCCTCACTTTGTATATTCTCTCATCCTCAGGGAGGGTAGCCCAGACTTCTGCTCCTGGTGACAGCACGTTCCAGGGGAGCACAAGGCCTGTGAGGCCAAGGCTCAAGAGTTCCCTCATGGTTAACATTTATGGGTCTAAACAAGTTTAAAAGCCAACCTAGATCCAAGGGGAGGGAGAAACTGATGGGACTATCAAAGACATGTTGCAAAGGGACATGCATACAGGAATGAGAAGAATTTGAGGTCTCTTTTTGCAATCTACCATAAACACTTAGGCATGTCCTAAGTGCCTGGTGCTCAACTAAGAATGAGAATAGAGTGGGGAACCAGACGTGCAATGGCCCCACCATTGTGAGACTGGCAGTCCAGCAATGAGTTGCAAACATTGACAAAGTAGTCACACAAATAAATGCAATACATGGCAAAGGCTTTGCACATGATATTTCAAGGGCATCAGGGAGGTAGGGCGGAGTCTGGAGCTGAGCTCATGACAGAGCTGACTACTGCACAGGGAACATCTGCTTTTCTATTTACTTCTGGGCTCTTTGCCCTGACCCTTTCGTCTCTCCTCCACTCTGACAGGGGCCCCTTCAGTGGATATTTTACATCTCCATTCCCCAGAAAATGCCTGACACATCTTCTTATTGTCTGAATGATCTTTCCCACCTCGTTCCTAACCCCCAGCTATCAACTTCAGCAGCTCTTTGTCCATAAACCCTCCACAACTCCTCAAATATGGACCCTGTCTGTCCCTATGGGCCCCAACAACCCTCTGTATTTAGTCCTCCTAGTACTTAACCACATTGAGAGCCAATTGTTTTTTTTTATTTTTCTCTATCATAAGCTCTGTAATGATAAGCTACATGTCTGTTTATTATTATATGCCCTAGATACCACTTAATACCCTGAGCCCAGGCACACAGTAAATATCTGTTGAATATAACCGCCACCAACAAAATAAAATCAGTTGGTGATTTATGTCATATCTCAGTACTTCTCTGACCCATGGTGGCTACCTGACATAGGCCCATCCATCCTGTCCTGTCCCAGGCTCTCTGGAGCTACTGGTTCTCTCCTGGTTTTCTTCCTACTCTATTCTTCTATTCTTCATTCTTTCCACATTATTTATACCCAAAGAGAGAAGATAAATTCAAGAAGCCAAGTGTGCACAGTTTGAGATACATGAATACTGAGAATAAATGTTGGATCACTAGGTTTCTGGTGACCTTTGGACAGTGTCAAAGGTAGGATGGGTGCTGACGCTGACTACAGGGGCTCAGGAGCACTGGGAGGCCACATCCTAAAGGTACCATGTTAGGCACAGGCAGGGAGAGAAACAGAGAAACAGAGGATTCAAGAAAGAGGAAAGCCTGGAGAGTGCTTTCCAATAGATTTCAATCTGTCTGTGGATGATAAGGAAAAGGCCAATAAAAAAGAGAAAATTAAAAATTCCAATATTAGAGCAAAGGAGAAAGGTCTGGATGGGGGCCTGGAAAGCATGGAATGTGAGGTGGGTTGTACAAGTTAGTGGCAAAGATCTAGCCATCCTACAGACAGCTAGAGAATGAGGTAGGTGCATCCATCCACTGCCAGCATTGGGAGAGGTGGTAGGTTAAAGACATGAGCCTGCCTGCAGGGCCCAGGACCTGACTGTGCAATGCTGGCTCACCTGCTCACCTGGGTGAATAACTGGCTTCTAAAAGGGAGATTTCTGATCCAGAAAGGGCCCTAAATGATTCCACCTAGTGTGACACCCCACATGGCTGCATGGCCACAGTGCACATGAGAAGCTGTGGCTGCCTGGTTATCAGCTCACATCCACCTTTCAGTGCCTTTGAGCCACCAGGTAGGGACATTCTTGCCACTCCCAGTGAGGCCATCACAGCTGCTGCTCCACCGATGAAGGAAGGTGGTTCAGAGGCTCTCTCTGGCCTGCAACACCAGGCACTCCTGCCTACAGGAGTAGTCCAGGCACTACAGCTACCTTTTTATTTTTAAGAAATAAAAAGCCTCATATTAATGTATCACCTCTACTTCAATACATACTTCTATTTTATGCCAAGTTGATGGCCCTTTCAGAAAATTAGCCTTTTAAATCACTCATGGTAAAGTTTCCTGAGAAACATATGTATGTGGGAAGTAAGTACAGGGGCCTCTGAATGAGCCTGGCACGAGTCATACTCCATGCCATAGGAGTCTAAATGTCATTTCTAGTATGAAGTGAATGTCATTTCTAGTATGAAGCTGCTTTTAAAAGCCACTCTTCTTGGTTATTGAAGCCACATCATGTGTCCCATGCTGCAGGGACTTTATGAAACAAGGGCACTCACCTGAAGGGCACAGCGTTGGTGGGAACACTCAGGAACATTCAGAAAGCTGACTGGAAATAGGATGTAACAGGAACACCAAACTGGGAGGTCTCAAGAGGAGTGACCTAGGAAAGGGCAACAGCCCAGCACCAGGAGGCAACTTGCCTTTGCAAGCAAAGGAGAGAGAAGAAGCAACCTGGTAATTCTAGATCCATCAAGAGATTTGGGCCCTTTCCTGCCTGTCAACAGAAGGCAAGGGAACAGAAGGCTCCAGGAACTTCCCTGGGGAGCAGGAAGAGGACTGGCCTTCCAAGAGGAAGTGACATGGTCCCACACAAGCGAAGCAGACAGTACTGTTCTTGGCAGTGGTGAGATGAATGTCCTCTAACACACAGAGCCCTTCCCAACATGATGTGGGTGCTGCTGGATAGAAGGAGAAGAACTAAAGAGAAAGCAAACTGTACCCGTGTGTGTGTACAGACACGCAGAAGCCTGTGCATGTGTGTGAGTGCCTGCACATTCGGGGGCTGTCTGGAAAGCATCCAGCCATGTGATATAAAAAGCAGCATTAATAATGTCTGGACAGCCCCATACATATTTCAGATTTTCAATACTGGATTCCAGTTTTCATTTCAGCATAGAAAATTATAGTCAACAGTGCTAAGAGACCATGATATGTTATTACCCTTTGAACACCAAGCAGCTCCCACGGGCAGAGCTGTTTCTAACACTGCTCATGTGCACTGAGGGCAGAGCCCCACTCATGCCCCTCCTGCCCCTCCAGGTTCAGCTGTGGCAGTCAGCACAGACTGGCACAGCCCCTGAGGCTGTCTCTGGACTGACTCCAGGCCTCCCTCCCAGTTTGCAGCCTAGAGCTAGTGCCTATGGTGGATTGTGCATTATTTTTCTTTATCTTAACCTGGTGAAATGAATGGATCCCTCTTGACGATTAATCACACTGCCAGGCCAGGGAGTAGGGATGAACCCCATGTTCTGCATACAGCTTAACCTTAAGGGGGACCCTAAAATGGCAGAAGGTCATGAAAGACCAATACTGAAGGTCAGAGGCAGGTTTAACATCAGATAGTGCCTGGTAGAGCCTCTACCACCGTGACCTCTAAGCACAGGGCTTAGTGAGCCCTTAACAAACCTGCTGTAAAGCAAACAGAATGCTTCTAGTCCTGCTTGTGTGCCGTCTCCTGTAGGACAGCAAGTCCCCTGCAGCACAATCACCCCGCTCCTGCAGACCCCAGCAGGGCCTATCATGCTCTTCTAATCATACAAGCCTCATTTTAGGACTTGAACAACATTGTCCTTATCGATACATATCATGAATTAAATTTAAAATAGTGGGGTTTTTTTTTCATTCTTTAAGGGCAGGGATGGTTCATTTGAAAGGCATGCATTTTGAGTATTTAAGAATTTAAAGTAAAATATCTTTTTCCCATGCAGTCCCTTAAAAACAACAGGTTTACTTGGAAGGAAATTTGATCTGTCAGTTCATCATCAGCAACACACACATCACAATTTTAAAGGGACAAAGTCACTCAGCTTGAGTTCCTCCCATGTGGTGCCACCATGGAGACATGTCAGGAGCTCAGGAGAGCTCCACATCACCACCTGGCTTCACCCCAAGCTGGGGACAAAGTTGTTATCCCCTTGCAGACAAGTAGAGAAGAATAAAGGATAAATGCACGTTCACCAACACTCACCCTCCACTTCCCCTGCTCCCTGCAGGGCGGCCACCAAGCTTTGTCTGAACCCTTCTGTTGCAGAGATACCCTCAACCCCGAGGCCAGAAGAAGAAGAAGGTGGTCAAGTACGGCATGGGGGGTATGATCATTGTGCTGCTCATCTGCATCGTGTGGTTCCCTCTCCTCTTCATGTCTCTCATCAAGTCTGTGGCAGGAGTCATCAACCAGCCCCTGGATGTCTCTGTCACAATCACCCTGGGAGGGTATCAGGTAATCCCCATGTGTCCTTGAGGTCCCCCTGCCTGCCAGATTCTCACCCACTGCAACTGTCTTTCATGACAGACACCTGTAGGATGCTTACCTGTGGCCAATCCAACTGTCCTTTCTAAATTTTGACTGTTTGGCAAATATGTAATGTATGAAATTAAGAGCAGAAGACACTGGAAGAATATTCTGTTCTGGTCTTAAGTACAGGAATAATCACTTCACAAAGAGATCTCCAAGGCCAGTTGCCTCTGGAGCGATCAGTGGGTGCTACACTATGTAACTGTTTTCTTTTAACCCAGGATACAGAAAAGAGCTCAGCAACACTGACAATCTGCATCTTTGTTTTCCAGCCAATTTTCACAATGAGTGCCCAACAAAGCCAGCTGAAAGTGATGGACCAGCCCAAGTTTAATAAGTTTATACGAGAGTTTTCTAGGGACACTGTAAGTAAATGCCTATAGTAATCTCTACGATGACCTTCCATATAGGTGAGCTCACTGGTTGTCATTTATTGTGTTTTGCTTTGGCCTGAGATAGTAGGGAGGAGGAAGAGGTTTCAGAAATTATCACATGTAGACATCAGATTTCTGGCTACTGTCTACTCTGATTATCTGAGAAGTTATGTCTGTTATTGGACACAAGTGGTAATAAGCATGATTTTAAATTAGAATATGTTAATGTAAGCTCAGCAGATATTGATCAATTTTTAAAATGTGTTTAACTTTTTAAATTGTGGTATATATTGATCTTTGACTAGTAGGTCCACCTTAGGTATCATTCCTAAGACATAATCTAAAAATGTGGGGAAGCATCTCTGTAATAGTAGGAACTGGGAGCAGTTTGAAGGTTCAACAGAGGCTGGTTTGGAAATTATGGCAGATGCATTAAGTGAATTGCATTGGCACTGGTCACCCTGGTGTGGTCAGAATAGGAGAAGGGGCTTTCACTTTTTATTTTATTGGCATGCTATTTTGTTTGAAGATTCCCCGAGCAACTTCTTTTATAATAAGAAATAATCCTTGCCGAAACCATAAATGACATGACAATATCTCAAGCTAAGACATAAGTGAAAAAGGAGACTATTAGTTTTGTAAAGGATAAAAAACAAGAAACTCATCCCTTTCTTCATAAAATGATTGATAATGCTCTGGTGACAGAGTTGGGCTGATGTTATTCTTTTATCTATAGTTCAAACTTTCAAAAATATGAAAACATTCTCATGGCTTAAACTCATTTTATGAATAATATTTTTATTTAAGAAAGTGATTAGGCAAGCAGATGCTGTCCTGTGAAATTGTCACCTATAATACACACCATCAAAACAAATCTTGAGTGATGAGCAACTATTCAGACAAGGCTGGGATGTCCTGGGTAGATTAAATTTTGTTTCTGTCATAAAAGGATTGTACCCCCATAGTTGATAAATCTCCTTGTTAGTGGAGAGGAAAAACAACATCAAATTATCTAGTTTTCCTTTATTGTTTAATTGGAATAACTGCATAGCTGGAATGGTGGTAGCAACACCACCACCAGGGGTGGGCAGTGTGACTGGGAAGTGCCCGCTGCTGTGAGCAGGGAGACTCAAGGCTGCCATCACAAAAATGCTCCCTACGTAGGGAAGAATCCTCTCTACACAGTCACTTAAAAGGAAGAGTGATTGCCTTCTTCATACAGCATCACATATATAATCTATTTATGCATATGTATTTGTGTAAATACAGGGCGCTATGCAATTTCTGGAAAATTATGAAAAGGAAGACATAACAGTAGCAGAGCTAGAAGGAAACTCAAACTCCTTGTGGACCATCAGCCCTCCCAGTAAGCAGAAAATGATACACGAACTCATGGACTCCAACAGTAGCTTCTCTGTTGTTTTTTCATGGAGTATTCAGAGGTAGTTACTATATTTCCATGCATGATTTCTCCTTTTCCCCCGATCTAAACTTGGGGGTGGAGTGGGAGGATAGAGGGATATTAGCATTAGATTAATGTGGCTCTTACTTTATCATGACACCCATGGCAACTTCCCTTCAGTGCTGAAGCTAATACTGAATGATGACTTGACCAGGAACCACTGACCCAACTCAGCACTTCTTAGTTTTCCTGTGGGTTTTGTTTGTTTTTCTTTTGCTAACTCTAGTGTTCAAAAAAGAGAGAATGAGCTCCTTGTGCAAAAGAGAAAGGAAGAGAGAGAGAAGAGGGTGATGGTTTATAGAGCAAAACAGAGTCTGGGTGTGAATTGTAAGATTTCCGTGAAAGGATGAAGTTTCGTCACAATGACAAAAAAACTACAGCTTAATGACAAAAAATCACAGCCTCTGGAAGCCCAGATTATCACTTGTGTCCCTCGACATGGGGAAGTCCTAGCAGATCTTTTCTCTAGGCATGAGATGTGAGGCCAGCTTGGCCATCCCAGAAGGAGGAGTCCTTCCACCTAACCTTAGTCCATGGCCTTCATTTTTGGTTATGTAGAAAAAAACTGTCTTAGGGAAAATGTTTATGTCCAAATAGTACATCCAAAAGGTCAACGGTGTAATGACACAGTTCTGGGACCTCAGCATAGTCAGCTAGATAATCAGCTGACTAGCTAGCTGATTAATTTCATTCCTCATTAATCTGGTGATTCAGGACTCTAGGCAATCTTTTCTAGGCAGTTAGGTAGTAGGCTCATTTGGGTCCTTGATGCCACAGTCTTAGTTAGAATTGAGAAAGAATTGTGACAGGTAGAGAAGACAGCCTCTAGAATCTAAAATGAATTTGCAAGGAAATGGTAAAGCAATATTTCAAAAGGGGCTGTTTAGAATCTAAACTAACTTCTTCAATCTTATTTTCTTCTTGTAAGTGTCTAAAATTCTTCATATCCCATTCTGTACAAATTACCAAAAATGTACTTCATAGCCTGTTATTTGAAGAGTTACCAAAAGTAACAACAAAATCAAAAATCAACTTCTGATCAAATATTCTTTTTTTTTTTTTTTTTGAGACAAAGTCTCACTATGTCGCCAGTGGTAGAGTGCCATGGTCTCACAGCTCACAGCAACCTCAAACTCTTGGGCTTAAGCAATTCTCCTGCCTCAGGCTCCCAAGTAGCTGGGACTACAGGTGCCCGCCACAACTCCTAGCTATTTTTTTTTGTTGCAGTTGTTTAGCTGTCCCGGGCCAGGTTTGAACCCACCACCCTCAGTGTATTTGGCTGGCACCATAACCACTGTGCTACACGCACTGAAACCAAATATTCTTTTAAAAACACGGATTCTATTAGTCACCCTGGATATTAACATCATTGGGGTAATATAGGAATGTTTCAGAATTCCTATTAGAACATCGAGATGGTTTCTCTTTTGTTCAGTAAACTCTGTCTCCTCACCTTTGACTCTAGTTTAAAGGTGTTTGTGGCCTCACTGGGTTTTATTAACTTAGTTGTCTAAGAGGCTGGACATAGAAGTGAGGTGTACCAAAGAGGTGTGGACCTGATGAAAAGCTGGCAAAATTAATAACATTAAGAGTCGAGTGATTTTTTTTAAAATCTCTCTTTTAGACTTCTGAATAATCACTGATATTAAGCTTCTATTTTTTCTTTACAGAAACATAAGTCTGGGTGCAAAATCAGAAATAGCAACAGATAAGCTTTCTTTTCCTCTTAAAAATATTACACGAGAGAGTATCGCTAAAATGATAGCTGGCAACAACACAGAAAGTTCAAAAACGCCAGTGTAAGTTTATTTTTCTTATTAATATAGCTTTAATAGATATATGGAGCTGATACAAAAATTCTGTCTACAAAAATTTCTGTGTACAAGAAATACAATTACCTTTATTATTCGGCAACACAAAATGAATTTCTATTTGAAAGCCCCATTTTGCTAGATAAAAAAAACATAATCACAGCCCATGGGTTTTCTCTCCACTCTACCTGAGGTCCTGTCTACGTTCTTAATGAGTGTGGATGTGATGCCAGGCTCCCAGGCACAGGTCTGGCCACAGGAGAGCACCAGCCAGCTGTCTACCATGGAGAAAGATTATCTCAGTCTTCAGTCCACATGGCAGGCAGCCTCTGCTTAGCCACTGGGTCCTACAAATGTCATTTGGAGGTGTGGGAGGTCTGATAGGTTCTGTGTCCACCTGACATGTGTGACATGTGACCAGGGGTGCTCCCTTTCTCCTGGACCTCGGGGACACCAGGCTCCTTCTGCTTTGAAGGGCTCTATTCAGAAGTGGAACACAGGATTATACTAAATTGACTATGCCTTTTTGTCAGCCATGCCTGCCACCTGATCACGGGTGCCCACTGCACCCATCTACCCTCAGGGTAAGGAGGTGGAGCTTGGGGCTTCACACTCTGCTCTATCCACTCCCACTCTGTCCACCTAGCCCAAAGAGTGTGGATGTCAGCTCTGGGTGGCAAACCCAGCTCTGCTCCAAATGCAATCACCAAATCTCAGGATGGTGGGGGGAGTAAAAGAATATTTTATCCTGCCACATATGTATTACCTTCCAAACAGATGCAAGCTGCCATGTTTAGGTTCTAATGTGAAAGGGGTGCCACACTCTTCCCCATCACTGCTCAGGGGCCCACAGTCACTGGGCGCATGAGAAGCTGAGGCCACTTGAGGTCCAGTCCACTGACTCTACCCATGCCCACCCTGCACTGGATCAGTTCATTCAGTCTGCTTGATTACAGATATTTTGAAATCCTAAAAATTAAAATTTGAAGAGTGCATAATGGTATTGGTAAGAGTTAGAGGATCATACTAAGAAAGAGAACCCCAGCTTACATACAAGCCCCAGACATGGGAAATGCTGGCAGCTGTTTGTCAGCCCAGACAGTCTGTACGGAGTTACATGCAGATTTGCATAGAGCTGGGGAATTTGTTCCACTCGAGAGAGCTCTGATTATAATAGAAACCTATAAATTTGATGTCTATGCATTATACAGATATATGAAACTCCCATTATTATTTGTTTGATAAGAGGTCAAAAATAGCAACAATAAATCAAATTTAGGTGTGTAAAACAATTTAATTACATCTTTTTTCTTAATGCCCAGGACAATAGAAAAGATCTATCCATACTATGTGAAAGCACCTAGCGACTCTAACTCAAAACCTATAAAGCAGCTTCTATCTGGTAAGTATGAGAAGACTTTTAAAAATCCCACTGTCATTCAACTTCGAGAGTTTGTGTTTTCAGCCTCTATCAAGTTACAGTTCCCAGTGTGACACTAGTCTGAGGAATCAAACACTCACTGGAAGGCACACTACTCATTTTCTTTTTTCATTGATGTAAGACCTGACTGACTTAAATGCACATGGAGTGACTCACAGGATGGCTTGTCAATCTGTCAACTTGTTTCTATTTAGCACCCAGACTTCTTACAGAAAACCGTCTGATGCATTGTTAAAAACAAGGCCCTGGTGATAAAAACAGTAAAAACACAGCCTGAAATACACAATTCAGCCCAAGAGTTAGTCTCAGTAGTGGTACTTCAGCCTTGGTCTCTTACACCTTGTGCCCCTCCCCCCACCATCTTCTCTGCCTGTGCATGACCTGAGGTCCAGCCTGTGCCATCCCTTTCCTCAGCCTGTGTGCCAGAATCCTCTGAGATCTTGCACAGAATGGCTGCTCACATGATAAACTACTCTCATTCTCTCTAACCTTCACTGCAGGTATATTCAGCACAGGTTGATGGCTGCTACCAGTTTACATGTGAGGAAACTGAGGCTCAGGGTAGGAATTACTCAGCCAAAGCCCTGCAACCAGTAGATCCACACCTGAGCCTGTCTGGGCCCAGGTCCATGGCTTTCTCCTTAGAACCATCTCTGGGCTTCAGAACCCACGTTCTCCTGCTTCTGAATGTTCCAAGTGGCTCACACTCTTCCTTGATAAGGACTTTGGTTTTGCCAATGTCTTGCTCCCTTCTTCAGGCACCCAGCAGACATTTTTTACCAAATGCTGTCTTACATTCCTATGTTGAGTTAGCATGAAATAATGCTGTCATGGTTCCCACCCTCATGGGAAAAAAACCACCGTGTTTTCCAGAGGGGGTACTGTTACCTTTGGCAGGAGTGGGACCTTCTTACAAAGACCTATGCAGTGTAATGCCAAGCTTTTTATTTTTTTTTTTTTGCCCTATCTAGTACTATTCTTTCACATTCACTCCATGCTCCAAGAAAAGCAATCACTGACCCTACATTATGATTTTCAGCACATTTCTGAGATTCATGCCATTGGCCCTTCCTGAAATGTTCTCCTCTCCCTACCCTATCTCCAATTTCTGAAGTTCTCACTCAGCAAAATGCACCTCAAAAGTCATCTGCCCTATAGAGCCACCATGGATCATTCTAACCAGCAGCTAACAGACCTTGCCAATACTCGTCCTGTTGTGGTTACCACATGCCCATAAAGGGCTCTGTGTACATAATCTTTTCCCATGGAAATAAGAGACAATGTTATATGCAATTTTGAAACCCCTTACCACTTGATAGAGTGAGTGCCTTTCTCCTAGGAAACATTCAAGAACTGGTAACATGAATCAATCAGTCAATTCACTCAGCAGTCAGTGATTTGGACTTTTTTTTCCTTTTTTTTAATTAAATCCTAACTGTGTACATTAATGCATTTATGGGGTACAATGTGCTGATTTGATATACACTTTGGAAAGCTTATATCAAACTGGTTAACATAACCTTTCTCTCCCTTACTTATTTGTTGTGCTAAGACAATTATACTCTACTCTCAATATTTTCGACATGTACCCTTGCATTGTGCATGTTAGGTGAAGTCCCACCAAATACCCCCCCTCCTCCCAGCCTCTCCCCTCCCCTCCCTTCTCCTTCCTTTTCCCTCTTTCTTTCTGCACTATAGTTTTGTTTTTTCATTCATACAAAATGTAGGTAATTATATACTGGTTTCATAGTGGTACTGAGTACATTGGATACTTTTTCTGCCATTCTTAAGATACTTTACTAAGGAGAATATGTTCCAGCTCCATCCAGGTAAACATAAAACATGTAAACTCCATCTTTTTATGGCTGCATAGTATTCCATGGTATACATTTATGACAATCTGTTAATCCATTCACGAGTCGATGGGCAGGGCTGCTTCCATGACTTGGCAATTATGAATTGGGCTGTAGTAAACATTCTGGTGCAAATGTCTTTGTTGTAAAGTGATTTTTGGTCATCTTGGGATATACCTAGTTCAAATAGCAGGTCTACTTTTAGATCCCTGAGTATTCTCCAAACTTCTTTCCAAAAAGGATGTGTTACCTTGCATTCTCACCAGGTTTCCCTCCACAGCCACACCAATATCTGTAGTTTGGGGATTTTGTGATGGGGGCTAATCTTACTGGTGTTAGATGATATCTCAAAGTGGTTTTGATTTGCATTTCTCTGATGATGAAAGCTGATGAGCATTTTTTCATGTGTTTGTAGGCCATGCACCTGTCTTCTTCAGAGAAGCTTCTGTTTAAGTCTCTTACCCACAAAGAAATGGGGTTATTTGCTCTTTTCTAATTGATTAGTTTGAGCTCTCTGTGGATTCTAATTATCAGACTTTTGTTGAAAACATAACCCACAAATATCTTCTCCTATTCTGAGGGCTGTCTGCTTGCTTTACTTACTGTGCTCTTGGCTGTGCAGAAGTTTTTTAGTTTGATCAGATCTCAGTAATATGTGGCCAATTTCGTCAAGCCTTTTCCCTGCCCTCTCTTCTAATACTTTTATAGTTTTAAGTCTTAAGTTTAAATCTTTTATCCAGTGAGAATCAATTTTCGTTAATGATAAAAGGTGGGGGTCCAGTCTTCTACAGGTCACCAGCCAGTTCACCCAGCACCATTTGTTAAATAGGGAATCTTCACCCCAGTGAATGTTTTTGATAGGCTTATCAAAGATCAAATGATGGTAAGTGGTTGGGTTCATTTCTTGGTTCTCTATTCTATTCCATAAAGCTACATCTCTGTTTTTGTGCCAGTACTATGCTATTTTGATCACTATAGATTTATAGTATATCCTGAAGTCTGGTAATGTGATACTTCCTGATTTCAGTTTATTTCTGAGTAATGTATTGGCTATTCGAGATTTTCTTCTGATTCCATATAAAATGAGGCACTATTTTTTTCAAGCTCTTTAAAGCATAAAAATGGTGCTTTAACAGAGATAGCATTGAATCTGTAGATTGCTTTGAGTAGTATGGACATTTTAACAATGTTGATTCTTCCCAGCTATGAGCATGGTGTGTTTTTCCATTTGTTAACATCTTCAGCTATTTCTTTTCTCAGAGTTTCATAGTTCTTTTTATAGAGCTCTTTCACATCCTTTTTTAGGTAAATTCCCAAATATGTCATCTTCTTTGGCACTACTGTAAAAGGAATAGAGTCTCTGGCTAATTTTTCAGCTTGACTATTATTGGTATATATAAAACTTACTGATTTGTAAGTATTGATTTTGTATCCTGAGACACTGCTATATTCCTTGATCACTTCTAAGAATTCTGTAGTTGCATCCCAGGGGTTTTCCAGGTTTAAGATCATATTATCTGTGAAGAGTGAGAGTTTGATCTCCTCTGACCCCATTTGAACACGCTTGATCATCTTCTCTTGCCTGATGCTAAGATTGAAGTCTTAGCATCATAGTGAATAGCAGTGGAGACAGTTGGCATCCTTGCCTCATTCTAGATCTGCATGACAGTGTTTTCAGTTTTACTCCATTCAATGGAGTATGATATTGGCTGTGGGTTTGCTGTAGAAGACCTCTATCAGTTTAAGAAATGTCCCTTACATGCCTGTTTTCTTAAGGGTTCTGATCATGAAAGGGTGCTGGATTTTATAAAAATCTTTTTCTGCATCAATTGAGAGAATTGCATGGTCTTTTTTATTTTATTTGTATGATGTATTTATAGATGTACATATGTTGAACCAACCTTTAACCCTGGAATAAAACCAACTTGATCATGGTGTACAATTTTTTTGATGTGTTGTTGAATTCTGTTTGCTAGGATCTTATTGAATATTTTTGCATAGGTATTCATTAATGATATTAGTCTACAGTTTTCTTTCTTTGTTGGGTCCTTTCATGGTTTAGGGATCAGGGTGAAATTTGCTTCATAAAATATGTTGGGAAGTAGTCCTTCTTTTTCTGTGTTTTGGAAAAGGTTGTGTAATAAAGGTACTAATTCCTCTTTAAAGGTCTGGTAGAACTCTGATGTGAAGCCATCTGGCCCTAGACTTTTCTTTTTAAGGAGATTGTGTATAGTTTGTGCTATTTCAGTGATTGATATAGGTCTATTTAAAATTTCTAATTCTTTCTGATTGAGTCTAAGATGGTCATGTGCTTCCAAGTATTGGTCTATTTTCTTCAGATTTTCATATTTTTGAGATTTTTCATGTTTTTGTAGTAATCACCGAGGATTTTTTAAATTTCTGAGGTGTCTGTTGTTATTTCTCCTTTCTCATTTCTGATTAATGATATTAGAGATTTTACTTTGATGTTTCTGGTTAGGTTGGCCAGAGGTTTATCAATTTTATCAATCTTTTCAAAGCAGCAACTTTTCCCTTTTGTTGATCTTCTGGATGATTCTTTTGCTTTCAATTTCATTTAATTCTGCCGTAATTTTGGTTATTTCTTTTATTCTTCTGGGTTTGGGGTTGGAATGTTCTTCCTTTTCCAGTGGTTTGAGATGACCCATTAAGTTGTTGATTTCCTCTCTTTCTGTTTTCTTGATGAAGGCTTCCAATGCTATAAGTTTCCCTCTTAGGACTGCCTTTGCAGTATCCACACAAATTTTGATAATTTGTGTCTTCATTATCATTTTGTTTCAAAAATTTGATGATTTCCTTCTTAATCTCATCTTTGACCCATCTGTTATCATTCAGCATAAGATTATTTAGTTTCCATGACTTCGTTTGAGTATGAAGATTCCTGTTGCTATTGAATACAACTTTTATTCCATGTTGGTCTGAGAAGGAATTATACAAGGAATAATTTCTGTTCTTTTAAATTTGTTGAGGTTAGACTTGTGTCCTAAAATATGATCTATTTTGGAGGATGATCCATGGGCTGATGAGAAGAATATATATTCAGTTTTATTAGGATGAAATGTTCTATAGATGTCTGTTAAGTCCATTTGTTTTAGGGTCAAGTTTAAGTCCATTATTTATTTGTTTATTTTCTTCTTGGAGGATCTATCCAAAACTGTCAAAGGGGTGTTAAAATCTCCAACTGTTGTAGTGTAGGAAGATATCAAATTTTTCATATCTCTTAGGGTTTCCTTTAAATTGAGGACCATTCTGGTAGGGTACATAAATGTTAATTATTGAAATCTCTTCATGTTGAGTGTTTGCCTTAACAAATATGTAGTGACCATCTTTATCTTTCTTTATCTTTATTGGTTTAAAGCCAGTTGTCTCTGCAAATGAAATTGCAACCCCTGCTTTTTTCTGATTCCCATTTGCCTGTATTATAGATGTCCAACCCTTCACCCTGAGTCTGTTTTTATCCTTTAAGGTAAGATGAGATTCTTGTAAGAAGCAGATATCTGATCTGAGTTTATGTATCCAGCCAGCCAACCTGTGCCTCTTAAGAGGACAATTTAAACCACATTAATTGAGAGAATTGATAAGCATGGTAGTGTTTGGTGTGTCATGTTTTTCAAATGTCCAGTGGATATTTTTAATCCTTTCACCACTGTGGAAGTTGGGTTTTGTTCAAAAAATTTCTGGGTAAGTTTACTTTGGAGCGATTTGGGCTATAAATGTCTACCAGGTTGTTTGGAATTATCTGCCTGGCTGCTTAGAGGTGAGTCTTTCACCATCTCCCTGTGGCATCATGTTCACAGCAACAGACCTCACTAACAGAGGGACCTCTCTTACATATGTCATTTTCTTTCTAGAATCATACACTATAGATAGTAACTAGTTTTTCCATCTGAAGACTGTTGGTGTACATTAAATCCTAAAATTGTCATGCTAACTTTATTTCATTTTTCTCCCCTCCAGAAAATAATTTCATGGATATCACCATCATTTTGTCCAGGGATAATACAACAAAATCTAATAGTGAGTGGTGGGTTCTCAACCTGACTGGAAATAGACTATACAATCAACACTCACAGGCCTTGGAACTTGTGGTCTTCAATGATAAAGTTAGCCCTCCCAGTCTGGGGTTCCTGGCTGGCTATGGGTAAGGATTCACTTAACAATTAATGGTTACAAGAGTCCACTTCTGTATCATTTAAAGTTGAGGTTGGGAAGCCTTTTATCTTCTTACAATTCTTAAATTTTATAGGTGCAATATTAAAATTCACACATCTGTAGCAACTTCATTTCAAAAAAATAAGGAAACAAGTCCCAAAGAGATCAAAATGCCAATTGTGACTCAGACAACCCAGGTGTATAGCTGCCTTACATTTCCCTGTTATGGTGTGGTTTGCTGTAACTCAGTGCTGACATTTAGAAACTGGATGGAGTTATTACTTTTCTCCATAGATTGTCTTCTGACCTATAGTGGATGGACCCACTATTCAGTTTTGAATATTTTTAAACCATCCAGTCATATTCTGATTCTTAAATCTTAGGACACACATATCTCCTATAATATGCAAGTATAAACTGTTAAATTTCTCCGAGTTAACCTCATAAGAAACTTCTTTTTAATCAGAATTTTATTATAAAAATAAATCTCTGAGAAATATGAATTCTTAAATGGAAAAGAGCCTGCTTCAGAAAAGTATATTTCTACCAAATATATAGTTTCCATAGGTAATATATGTTATAATATATTATAGTTTATGCATTTAATAAATGCAGTAAACCATCTAAAGTTAATACATGAAAATGTTAACATTGGTTATTTCCAAAATGTGAGATTTAGAAAGATTTTGATTTTTCAATTCTAATAGTTTTATAATATTTTTTTACAAAGAACATAACTTACCTTTTTAATTAGAAATAAATGTAAATTTTTACCAAAGGAAAAATATAAGCTTTTATCTTCTATGGATAATGAAGGAAAATATCATTTTTTTTCTTTTAGACTTGCTTTTTATCACATATTTAACTGCTATATATAATTTTTACTTACTGGGTTTTTCAGTATCATGGGACTATATGCTTCAGTTGTTCTCGTGATTGGAAAATTTGTCCGTGAATTCTTCAGTGGAATTTCTCACTCCATCATGTTTGAAGAACTTCCAAATGTGGATCGAATTTTGAAGTTGTGCACAGATATTTTTTTAGTTCGAGAGACAGGGGAACTGGAACTAGAAGAAGATCTCTATGCCAAATTAATATTCCTGTACCGTTCACCAGAAACAATGATCAAGTGGACTAGGGAAAAAACAAATTGAAACCTAAGGACACAAACTGCAAGTGAAGTGAACATTTGAATTTTTTTTTAAAAAAGCACAATATTCTCATAAGAGCTAAGTATTTCTAGTTCAGTGGAAATGGTTTCTCTTCTGACAGGTGGCCAAAAGGAGCTGATGTCCTTTTGCTGTAAAAGCTACCTTGTAAGTTTGGGGACCGTTGAAGACATTATTTGTAATTCCAGTTCTCTCAATCAGGGCTACTTGCTTTATGTTTTAGTTAACAGTGTCTTGCATTCTGATTGACTATGTGAGGAATCATTCTTGGGTCCTCTCCGTAAGAAAAATAGAAGAGAAGATAGAAGGACAGAGACCTGTGTTTACTCTGCAGGGATGACGCCCTTCCAGGGAGACGCTGTGACAAATCTCCCACAGCTCTGGGATGGCCACTGTGGGGAGACTGGATGAGCCTTCAGTACACTCAAAATATGCAATAGCAATAGGAGGCCAGCAGCTCCTACATGCATCTCTGGGAGGACAAGAGAAAGGGAACCAAGGACTCATGAAGATGCCACTGGAAGGATAAGCATTCTAAGCAAAAAGATAGCATTAGTGATACTCTTACTGCCTTATCTTAACTGAAGACTAATTAACAAATCTTTCCTAAAAACACAAGTGACTTCTCAGGAAATTGAAAAAAAAAAAAAGCAACAAAACAAATTACGAGGACATCTGCTTATTGTGGTCCAGTGGTGACTCGCTTCAGTGAAGGTTGCTGTCATGGAAACGTACATGAGACAGAAGACAGAAAGATTTTTGAAAAGGACAACTCAGATGGACTTGGAATTCTCTGACTTTGTAACTCTTTAGTAACTGAGGTCAGGAACTCTCTTTGGCCTTTCCCCATCTCCTCTTTCCATGATTTAAGGCAATGGTTTTTCCAATATGGACATTTTCCTTCCTGTTTTTCAGGTATATCAAAGAGTTTACATATTCTGATTCACATTTTTACATCTGAGACAGTTTTTTTTAAGTTCATAATTGTGGAAGAAATACGTATATTGAGCTCGGGAAATAAAAATGGCCTTTTCTTAAATTATTATCATTGGTAATACAACCTCTTCATTAAATAACAATATAGCATGAAAAAATTATGATTAAAATGTAGTTTTCATTCCATATTAAAATACAGTTTCTGAGAAAAATCATTGAATGGGCTAGAATATGTAAAAAAAAAAATTGATCCTATGTAGTTTGGGTTCAAAGCTGAATTAAAATAAAGCACATCTTGCAAAGTTATTTTGAGAATACTCCTCATTCTGCCTTTTTGCATAGAATAGGAAAAGTGATAGTTTTCAGTACAAACAGAAAATCAACTGAGGTAAGAATCTACTGTTGCTGGTTTTGTTTTATTTTCTCCTGTAAGTGATCATATAAATAACATTAAACAAGAAAAGCAACTGATAACAAATTGATTTCCAAGGAGGAAACTATAATAATGAATATGGAACTTCAAAACAAACAGCAGAGTCTTCTAGAGCTATGGTCTCTAAACCCCTACCCTAGCCATGGACTAGTAGTAGTTTGGGAGGAGGAAGCTCCATCTGTATTCATAGCCACCCCCACTGCTCATCATCTCCTGAGCTCTGCATCCCGTCAGATCCCCCTACAGCCTGGTCTGCAGAAAAATTGTCTTCTATGAAACCCTTTGTGCTAAAAGGGTTGGAGACCATGCTCTGGAGTTAATCAGTGTATTTGTTCTTACACTGTGAATTCAGTATGCATGCACCCTGCTGAGATCATCAGTTTCTGTCACAATAACAATAAACCCAAACTACTTAGCGGAACACTTGGGTGACAATGTGCTTTCTTGACAACGGGAAGAATTACATCACATATATCTGCTTGTGAGTTTTGTTTTCTTTTTTTATTTTATTTATCTATTTATTTACTTATGTTTGAGACTGGTTCTTCCTCTGTTGCCTGACCTAGAGTGCAGTGGTGTCATCATAACCCATTGTAACCTCAGTCTCCTGGGCTCCAGTTGTCCTCCTACCCCAGCTTCCTATGTAGCTAGGGCTACAGGTGTGGGCCACTGACACTGGATAATTTTTCTGTTTTTAGTAGAGAAGGATCTCACTCTTGCTCAGGCTTGTCTGGAACCCTTGGCCTCAAGTGATTCTTCCTGAATTCTAACACCTTATCTATGAGTTTTCTAATTCCAGTTTTTATTGTTCTTTTATGTTTTCACTCATTTGCTGAATTAATTTTAGCTCACTTTGAAATATTGGATTATACATAGTAGTTTTCACTTGTTTTGTGAACATCTCTTTGTGGCAAATGTTTATAGTCTCAAAGGATGTGATCTTATCTTTTTTTTTTTTTTTTTACTGACAGCATTTGGTATTGGACTTACCGTCTTTTCTGTTGCTCTTTGTACAGGACATTCATTTTTCCAACTTTTGGGAAAAGTCGGAATCTCTTTTATCCTCAGGGCTTTGGAGGCCTCTCTGCTGTGATGTGGATATCTTCCTTCCCAAGGCCTGACACCCAGGGTGTCCCCTCCATCCCCTTTGCCCAGGTCCTCTCTTCCTGAAGGGACTCTATCCTGAGACAGCTTCTCCTCAAGGACAAGGATGATGGGAGGGAGTTTCAATTGGTAACTTTGGAGAGTTCACAGGCCTAGCATGGCCCAGCCCTTTAGCCCACATCTGAGCCCTGCCCTCCACCCCCACGTGTATACAGCCCCTCCCAGTGTCAAAGGGCTGTGCCTGTGGGGGAGCCCTGCCTCAGCTCTGCCATATGTCCATTCTCTCTTCCTCCTCCTGTGTGGGGCGGATGCAGGCCCAGTGGGTCTGGGGCTTGCTGTTAGTGACATAGTTCTTGTCTGGGGTTGTTGTTTTGGTGCAGGGAGGTGCAGACAGTGATTGAGGACCCTCAGCACTCCGCAGCCACTGCCTCTGCTACACAGACTGCCACTAGAGTCCTTAACTATAGCATTTAGCAAGGTGAGATACCAGATTCCACAGTTAGAGATAATAATCTTAAATTATATCGCCCTGGTTAAATTCACTAATTGGCAGGAAGGTGCCTTGGTATAATCAGTGCACACAAATAATTGGTTCCCAAATTTTACTTCAAGTAAAAGACATTTTTTAAAAAAATAAAATATTACTAATGAAAGTGTTATTTAAGGCAGGTATCTGTGGTTATGTTCCCACATAAGTTTACTTGTGTAATTTGGTGATTTTCCATATTGTTTCTTTGCTTTCTAGTTCTTTGTTCATTTTTTTCTTTTTGCTTCTTTGTGTTATAAGTACGTAGCTCTTTAGTTTTCCTTTCTAATATAAGCATTTGAGTCTATCAATTCAAATTGGGTACCCCAATTCAAAAGTATAAGAGATCATCATTTGAAAGTTTAGTTACTTAAATATTCCATACTTTGCCATGTGGTCTTGAATATTACATTTCCATTTATATCCTGCAAGTGAGACAGTAGCAGAGAGGCTGTGTCACTCACAGCCCAGCTCCATCAGATCACATATGGTAGAATGTTCTTTGAAGGATCTTCAAGTGCATTTCTTCCCATGCTGCCGGTCAGTTTTTGCATTGTGAAAGTCAACTAGAACTGCCACCACAAGACACTGGTTATCTTGCATGTAACTAGGAAAGCTAGCAGTATCTTAAATTTTTAATTATTATTTTGTATAATGTTGCCCTATCTAAGTTTGTAATATTTATTCATCTAAAATCATTACAATTTAAATCTGTAGTGAGACTTTTGAGAACCCTGTTTTCTCCTTGCAAGACCAAATCCTACTCCAGGGAGGTATGGCAGGGGCTTCACAGAAGTCCAGAAGCAGAGCACTTGTGGGTGTAAGAAGGGCACCAGTTTGCTGAGGGACCTAGAGGGAGGTTTAAGAGACAGAGGAGCTTCTGGAACCATCCTTATGCTCTGGAATAGGCCCCTAATGAGTTTAAGGTTCTGAGGAAAAGCCAGATGGGGCATGTCCTGCCTTCCTCACCCCAGACACTTCCTCCCATAGAGTAAGAGAACAGAGCCAGAGAAGGATTGCTGGAGATAGGCTTGGGAGTGCTGGGGTAATAAGGATAATATAAAGAACAGTCAATCAATATTAGCCGAACCTTGTGCTTAAAGCATGAGAAGTTGGAGGCCTGAGTGGTGGGTGGTAAACTGGCAATCAACAGGAATAATTAAGCTGAGAAATAGGCCTAAGCCTGGGAACCAGAGAGAGGTTAACAGCTGTGTTGTTCCTCCCCCAAAGTCACTGCACCACCTGGTGTCCACGAAGTATATTGCAACATAAATATGTTCCTTCTGAAATCAGATCCCTACATCATAAATAATATGTGTATGTTTATATATAATATGTATTTTTTATTTCATTTTTTGTCTTTTTTTCTTTCTTGTAGTTGTCACTGTTAATTTTTTTCTCTTCTTTTCTTCCTCTGTTGGTTGCTGAGATTGCTTACATCAGGCTATTTGAGTTTTTTTTAGATCTTGTTTCAATGAGTTTTGTTTTGTTTTGTTTTGATTTTTGCTAAGTTATTTGGTTGGTTCCTTTCCTAACTTCCATTATTACATTTAACAAGTGCAAGGGCTCCTGTATATTTGTTGTTGTTGTTGTTGTTGTTGTTCAAGAATTGTAGCTTGATTTATTCTCTCTCCCTTCTTCACTCCTTGACATTCTCTCAGTTGATGGACACTCTTCTACTCTTCTTATCTCTCCCTTATAATGTGCTTCTGCATCAGCTAAGATATTATCCCCTGTTTTTCTTCCTTTTTTTTCTTAGTTTGTTTTCTTTCTTTCTTTATTCCTCTTCCCTCCCTCTCCTTTATTTGATTCAATAGCACATTTATTTTCCTTTATCTATTCTTTTTTTAATATTTATTCCTTTTTTCCCTTTTTTGTTTTTTATATTTATTTTTTTCTTCTTTTTCCAGCCTTTCTTTGCTGAGGGTGGGTCTGACACAGCTGTGGTCTGGTAGGTAGACCACAGCAGTAGTCTGGCTCAAGGAGGCCAGGAGAATTTTCTACCACTGGCCCCAAGAAGAAAGTATTAGGAAGATCACACTGCAGAACTTTCCTATTTTTCTTTTTATTCTTTTTTTTTTTCATCCTTACTCAATTTTTCCTTCTTATTTTTTGTGTTTGCTCTTTTTCTTCTCTTCCTAATTTTGGCAGAGAAAGAGTCTGGCTGTGTTCAGGCTAGGAAGGAGTGCCTGATTTAGAGGAATCCACCCAGCCTAACTCAAAACGCTTCAGCTATAGGTGTGGGCTTACCACCATGCTGAATAATAACATTTCTTCTATCACTCTCATGCTTCTTTCCTGTCCTCCTTCTCTCCTGTTCTTGGAATTTTCTTCTGTTATTCGCCCTCTTTTCTTTTATTTCATTTATTGTTTTTTCTTTTCTCTTACTCTTTCCTTCTTTTTTTTCCTCCTTTTTTCCCTCTCCTCTTGCTACTCCTTGCTCACTCCAACCCTTCTCTGCCTTCTGACTCCATACCAAGAGGCCTCTTCACCATCTAAACTCTGGGACAAAGTAACTTGAAGCAAAGGAAGAAGTGAGAAGGAAAAAGATGCACAAGAAAAAACATTCTCAGGATAAAGTTTATCTAGCAAATATAACAGTGAAACTCCAGAGACATTCTAGTGAAGTCACGAAGATGCTCATTATCAGCAGCTCTTGCAAACATTACACTGGATGGCCACAAAGCTATGAGACATTGATATAATAAAAGAAATCAGAAATGTTAAATGTTAAGGAATACAATCCAGAGGCAGGAAGCCTGGATTCTGGAGCCAATGCTACTTCTGTCTCAAGGTTTCCAACAGTCAAGGAGAAGGAACAAGATGGGGAACTAGAAATATCTCCTTATCAGCCACTCAGTAAGACAGGAGAGACAGGACTCTAGCAACCTCTGGCTGAAGGATCCTGCCTAGAAACATCCCTCTGTAGGTACAATGAAGCAGTAGGCAACTCCAGGAGCCAACAAAGAGGTCTGGAGCTGAGGAAGATCAGCAAGAAGGCAAGTGCTTGCATATGGGTAGAGGCTGGCCAGCTGGCCCTCCAGTGGAGGACTAGGGACAAGAAAGGGCTGTCCTGCAGTTTTTTGTTCTTGGACTGGGCTGTTCACTGGAGTTGCCTTAAAAGGGTTTAAGGGAGCAAGTGGATTCAAACAGCATCCAGCAGGCAGGGGGCTTGGCTACTAGCAAGGTGACACCATTGTGGGAGGGCCACCTGGGAGGAAGACTCCATACAGTCCTAGTG